AGATTTATCAAGACTAAGATACAGATCGAATGAATCTACAAATAGTACATCGACATGTTCAAGAAGGTTAGAAACAAATACCATGTTTACTTACCTGAAGTGGAGTTAGTAAAGTTGGCCTAAAATGGTTTAAATTTTGAATTAGGAAACAAATTCGAAAAAAATGGAGTTCAGAGAAGTCTTTCAACTCCCAGCCAAAGCTACTAAATACGAAGTATTGCTTAGAGAAGAGTAACAGAGGAAAAACAGTTTATTAGTAACTTATTTTCAAAACTTCGATGGTGAAGTTGAGATAAATGTGGCACAAATCATAGGAAGTCTACCAAACATATGTGATACCCTAAAAAAAATTGATGACTNAGATAAATGTGGCACAAATCATAGGAAGTCTACCAAACATATGTGATACCCTAAAAAAAATTGATGACTATGTCGATATGCTATTTCAATAGCCTTTATGCAGTATTTATTTGACTTATCGATGATTGATGTTCTCTTTGATGAGATGATCAACCACATATTTATAATCTTGTCTCAAGGACATAGTATCCCGCCAGAAAAAGACACAAAAGGGAAAGAATACTACAAATGACATAATTTATTTCAGTGTTCAAATTTATAATCTTGTATGTCGATTAAGTCCCCTCCGTTGATAACCACAATTTTTGAAGCAACAAAAATATAATAAAAAATTGTCAATTCATACATTTGTACATCCATCACACGAATTAATTAAGGAGAGATCAGTTTAGGCATCTTGGTGTCTTCACAACAATGACACAAAAATCCATACATTTTGTGTATTTTAAAAAACACATCCACTCCAAGTTACAATTGGCAAAACTTCAAAAAACAAAAAACAAAATAGTCTAGCGAATGAGACTCCATTACTATGGGACTTAGAGAGGATGGATGCATTATTATTCCTATATACAAAGAGATTACGTTCGTGATCTGAACTTTTGACACTCAATTTATAATGAAGTAATTGTATAACTACACAAAGATTTTTCTTCTTGAAATTGATAAAATTAAATCCGAATTATGTGTATTTAGTATATTTTAATCCAAAGGAAAGTATAGGTATGAAAAGTGTACACATCGACCAACCTTGTTGGCATGGGCGGAGGGAGGTAGGGGCCAGGGTGGGCACGTGTCCCCCCTTAANAAATGTGGCACAAATCATAGGAAGTCTACCAAACATATGTGATACCCTAAAAAAAATTGATGACTCTGTCGATATGCTATTTCAATAGCCTTTATGCAGTATTTATTTGACTTATCGATGATTGATGTTCTCTTTGATGAGATGATCAACCACATATTTATAATCTTGTCTCAAGGACATAGTATCCCGCCAGAAAAAGACACAAAAGGGAAAGAATACTACAAATGACATAATTTATTTCAGTGTTCAAATTTATAATCTTGTATGTCGATTAAGTCCCCTCCGTTGATAACCACAATTTTTGAAGCAACAAAAATATAATAAAAAATTGTCAATTCATACATTTGTACATCCATCACACGAATTAATTAAGGAGAGATCAGTTTAGGCATCTTGGTGTCTTCACAACAATGACACAAAAATCCATACATTTTGTGTATTTTAAAAAACACATCCACTCCAAGTTACAATTGGCAAAACTTCAAAAAACAAAAAACAAAATAGTCTAGCGAATGAGACTCCATTACTATGGGACTTAGAGAGGATGGATGCATTATTATTCCTATATACAAAGAGATTACGTTCGTGATCTGAACTTTTGACACTCAATTTATAATGAAGTAATTGTATAACTACACAAAGATTTTTCTTCTTGAAATTGATAAAATTAAATCCGAATTATGTGTATTTAGTATATTTTAATCCAAAGGAAAGTATAGGTATGAAAAGTGTACACATCGACCAACCTTGTTGGCATGGGCGGAGGGAGGTAGGGGCCAGGGTGGGCACGTGTCCCCCCTTAAAATTTTTTTTTTTATTAGTTAGATATATGTAATATATATTTATACATATATATTATGTGTGGCCCCTCATTTAAATTAGACCCACATTATTTCCTCAAAATAATTAAACAATTAAGTTCATTTAAAACAAAAAAAATTGAACTCACTATTGTCTATTCAAATTTATTAAAAAAATCAAATATTTGATCTATCACAATCCACCCAAACCTATTAAAAAACAAAATTTTTAGCCCAATATTAAAAACAAAATTTTTGGCCCAACATAAAAACAAAACTTTTGGTCCACCATCATTAAAAAACAAAACTTTTGACCCACTTGACTAAAACTTATCTTATCTTTCATTTTTTTTTTCTCTGTATCACCCACTTCCAACTGCCCACTACCCAGCCACAAGAAAAAGAGAAGAAAAAGAGAAAAGCTCAACACACGAGAAACTCAATTTCTTGAGTTTTTTTGTCCTTTCTTGCACCAACCTATAAAATTATTTTATATATTATATTTACCCCCTAAATTTTTGAAAATTTTAATAATGGTTTTAATTTTTTTTTTAATAAATTAGTGGACCACTAACCCTCTAAAATAAATATGTTAGTTTTGGATTGAGTCAATGTTTTATTTTTATGTTGACGAAAATACAATATTTCTCTTTATCTAACATAATGTTCGTTACTTTTTAAGAATGATTATTTGTTTTCATTTAACATTTTTTTTAGTAATAGTAGTCTATAACCAAATAAAATATGAAAATTAATTTACATTTAATTCATATACAAAATTTTTTAGAGATTTTAAAAATTTTTATATTTTATTAAAATATATAATTAGGTTAAAATGTATTAAAAAAATTATTTTGTGTCTTTTTGTTAAGATTTTGTTTCGACTAAATAAAAATTAAATTTATTATTTCACAATAATTTAGTGTTGATTCTTATTTTTTTTATTCTTGAATTGAATTTTTTTGTATTAATTTCGGTTTAATATTTTTTTATACCAATTATATTTTGTCTCTGTCATAGATATTCATGGCTCCGCCCTTGATAATTTATATTTTTTTTTTGGAAATTTTTATGTTAAATAGATTTTATATATCAAATATAATATAATAAATATTAATATATTATATAATGTAATTGATTAAAAAAAAAATTAAATACATAATTAAAGTATCCACCTTCAATAAAATTCTTGGCTCTGCCCTCGTTGAACACGATAATTTCCTCTCCTTATCTATGGAAGAATGTATGTATGAACACAGGCCATAAAGGAGGGCACGCTTCATACTGACACAACCTGATCATAGTAGATAACAAGTTGTACAAACTTTCTGTCTGCAACTAACTTCCTCAGCTTTTCTCTTGTCGTAATAATTGCCAATTGATTTGATTTAGGATTCCCGAATTATTCACATAAATAAGGAGTTGGTCCACAACAATTATTTACTCATTCAATTTTTAAATATACAACGTCTAAGATTTTTATATAAGAATTAAAGAAACTATTAAATAATTTTAATGTGAATTAAAAATAATTATACAAGACTAAAATATTTTTATTCAATACGTATTGAGAAGAAAAGAAATATGAAAAATACTTAACCTCCACCTAATCTAATGCATTAAAAAGTTAATCTTAAATTTAGAAAAAAAAATATTAATTATGTTTTAGTTTCATAAAATAACAGATATTATGGAACAAAAAAAATTGTGTAAAACGACGGATATTTAAAAACGGATAGAGTAATTCGCACCTATTAGTTTGATGATCAAACAATTAAGTGATGATGCAGATATTGGCACGTCCCTAATTTGAGGCTCACTCATCCTATAAAATTTGGATTTAATTGATTTAATTTATTTTTCGACAAGGTTATTTACAGTTGCATGCATTAATCTAAAATATGCATGACTAGGATGATTCTTATTAAAAAGATAGAACTTTCTTCTTCGATCCTATTACATATGATATGGTCACTGTTTTAATTATCAGGTTTCTCAATTTGTAACTGCAACTATTGTTGCCTTGATGATTGATTCGATTATTTATTATTATTATTATTTTTTTTGGATCAGATATTATTATTCAATTATTGTGTTATTCAATTTATTATTGTTATTCAATTATTTATTAGTAATTGTTCATTTATTAGAAGGATAAAACTGAAAATTAATTAATTTTTAGACGTCAATTTTGTGTAATTATCAAACAATTTAGTTTAATTTAATACTTAAATTTCAATGGGTACCAATTAGTCCACAAATTCAGCATTTAACTTTCAACTTTCATATTTATCGTACACCACCTAAGCCTAGAACCTGAAAGCAATCGGGTCCATGGGATGGTTTATGCTAATGGGCCAGATTTATTTTTAAGCACTCATGCCTAAATACTTAATCGTGAAAATTGTATCTCTACCCCAAAAAAAATTGACTGTCCCCAAGTGTCCATGATTGAAATTCCAACCAATACATTTTTTTGTTGTCATTTTTTTTCCCAAATAAATCATCTATTGTAGATTCAAGTGAAATTTATTATATATAAATAGATCGCTTATTATTAAAGGGTGAATAATCTTTATGGTAGAAAAAATAGTAAAACGAACGGACAATAGACGTTTATTTTTTAAATAATGTGAAATCAATAATTATAATTGAATTGATAATATAAAAAATTAATAATTTAATAAAGAAAGTAGATCAAGGTCAGAGTCAAAAATGAAAGTATTATTTGCCCAAAATAAAGAAAGTAATTGGTGTCACTTTGTTTTCTTTTTCCCATGTGTTTCCAAAGGATTTTCCTTTTTGAGGCAATTGCATAAAGAAAGTAGCATAGAGTGGAGAAAGAGAAAGAGAAAGGAATACGTTAGAGAGAGAAACACATGTGCTTTCGTTTTCTAATTGCTCACTTCACCATCAATCACCTCACCTGATGTTTAAAGATAGAAAAACAGAGTGACATTCTTGGAGGCCGTTAAGTTTGGCCATGCTCGTAAGGTTATAGCTGCGAGCGGGGTCCAGATGGAAAATAGGAAATGGGAAAAGGACAAAGATTTGGGGACATCGATGGGTACCAATGCCAAAACACTCCAGAATTTTTTCTTCCTCATGAAGCCTCTGCTATCAAAGCCATACCACTGGTCATCCCGTAGCGGAAGATACACTGATCTGAAATTATAATCAGAGGGGTATATTTACTGTCAAAAGTGTTTACTATGTCACAATGCAGCAAAGTTTGGCTAATGCTCAGCGAACTGACCAGGCAGTGCCATCAAATGCTGGAGAAACGAGTTGGGATTTTTTATGGAAGCAAAGGATCCCAAATAAAATTAAGGTTTTTATTTAGCGGTTTTGTTTGGAGGCTCTGCCTACAAATGAGAACTTATGGTGAAGGAAAATAATTTGTGTGATGTGTGCCGTAGTTGTGGAACAATGGATAAGGGATATACACTCTTTTTTGGGGCCTGCTGAGTTTGCTTTATTTTTTGTTCAGTGTTGGTTAATTTGGAAGCATAGGAATGAGATGATACATTCGGGGTTATCTAAGAACCCGGCAATTATCGACCAAGAAGCCAGAGTTTTTTTTGGAACAATTCCAACACGCTAATGGCATCCAAGGTCAGCTGCTTCAATTCTTGCATCGTGGAAGCCTCCTATTGATGGGGTAGTTAAGGTTAATTTTTGTGATCTTGAGTTTTTGGAAGGGCAGACGGTGGGTATTGGTGCTGTGTTAAGGGACATCAGGGGTGTTTTTTTGGCTGGGATGGCAAGAAAGCATATGCGCAGGGAAGAGGTTTGGAGCGTGGACGGCCATAGCTATGCAAGAAGCGGTAAATTTTGTTCGCCTCCAAGGGACAGTGTCTGTAGTGTTGGAAGGGGATTGCATTCATTTTCTGAAGTCTGTTGTGGCCATAAGTTCTGATGTACAAAGGGATCACATGGATGCAAATTTGAACAGTGTGAATAACTAATGAATGGGAATAGAGTGGCTTCGAACTTGCTAAATAAGCGAGGTTACTTGCGCATATACTTTCTTGCCATCCCAGCCAAAAAACACACCCCTGCTGTCCCTTAACACAGCACCAATAAGCAAACAGGCATTTAGTTGTCCAAAGAGTGACAGACCATACAGTCAAAATTCAAATATCCAACGACTGTTTTTATTCCTTGGGAGTTATTGCTCCAAAATCTCCTGGAATCAATAGAGATATTTCAATGGATAGATAGGTTTTAAGTGACTATTTGTAAAGAATTTAAAATTCATTAATTTAGGACTTTCTTGGTTGAAACAATCATGAACAATCACATTGTGCAAAGAACTAATAAAAGAGAATTCATTTATTAATTCAATCAAAAGAAATTCCGTTAAAAAAAATGAATAAACAATCTTGATTACAACACTAGCTGTCTCCTAAAATTACTCCTCATAATTCCCAGATTGTGAGTCTTTTGGGGTGGAAGGTGTTAAGTGTATTTTCTTCTTCTCCACTATATCCTTTTTATAGTCATTGTTTTTAACATTTTTGTTCTTTTTGATGGTTACTAACTGTTAACTTATAGTTTGTTAGTTTTTTATTTTTAAATATGTCTGTGACTGATCATCTCCCACATTTCTTTAGATTCTGCCATGTCGCACCTTATCAATTCATTTGGGATGTCAAATGTCGATACACTGAATATTCTTGAAATTTAATATTTTATGTCCAATTAGGGGCGCTCTTAAATTTATCTTTTTATGTGGAGAGATGATTCTCCATTAGGTTTCACATTAGTTTATTGTGGGAAGGAAACGACATATCAATATGATCCACCGAAATAACTGAGTTATATATAAAACTAATGATAATATAATTTCTGCAAGACATAAGTAAATAAAAATGATAATAGAAAGTACAGATGGTGGTCATGGTTACAAGTAAATAAAAATGATACCTGTTTGAGATGTAGCCGGTTAAGTGAATAAGTGGCGTTGCATAATCACCAAAAAAATGCAAAGGTTAATGCGGATGAACACATTTCATCACTACACGCAAATCGATGATGAATTATCTCAAATTGTTCAATATTACATACACACATACTGTTCATGCTGGTTCCTTATCCATGCGACGAGTCAATCACATGTTACTTGATGAGAAGAATCTAATCATTAACTGAGTTACGAGACATGAAACCTGTATGTGTTGAAAATTTTCCTTTTTTTAAAAAAAAAAGAAGATATATTCTATTTTGTTTGATTGGTTGCAATTAGATATGTATTTTCAAATAATGATTTGATGGTACTGTCCGTTGGCCTGTAAACTTGACATGGGGAGCTTTTCTTCCTTGACCTAATATTGAGTCATTGACATATCAATCGTAACAAATTCTTATTAAATAATGAGTTTGTCACGTGGGCTTATAAGCTTGGTCTCTTTCTAACCTGAAAACAAGTATTGCTTCTAGCCCAACTCTATAACCAGATTTTTTTTTTTTGGTCTCTCATGACCCAATTATTAAGTGAGTAGCACATAAGGAGACAAAGCTCATTCTCTAAATGATGGGTATCACTATTTGAACATAAATATACATCCAACCAAGTATTATTTAATCTAATGAATAATGTGCCTCAGTGCTGAACACATAATTGTCACCGTAAAATACAAGACATAAATTTGGCTGCTTGCCAGGGCTCAAACTAGTACCAGGCAAGACCAAAGGAAAGAAGCTATTAAATTACATTCCACAACAAACAGCACCACCTTGCTTGATTATTCTTCAAGATTGACGGTCACAACTTCCCCAATGATGGTTTTGTTTTAGTACTTCTGCGAAGATTTTTCCAAAACGAACCTCCAAAATCCTAGCTGATTTTTAGATGAAAAGAAAACAAATTTATGTAGCTGCAGCCACCTGTCTATCGCTTGGGGTGAGATTCAATTGTGCCTTCATCGCATTAACCCCGCCTGAAAATAAATGGATCATAGAATTGTAACTATATGCTCAAGGCATTCATAATGGAAAATGACTAATTTTCTTTGCTCTCATGCATGAACATCAACAAAACAGAATAAACTATCCCATTTAAATGTAATCAGGAAAATAAATGTATACAGCTAAAAGATTCAGAAGGCCCACTACTTGGCCTCAAAAGAAGTGGTAACGTGATTGCTACCTTTCAATAAATGGATTCCATGCAATGACATGTCACCTGGTGTGTCCCCAAAACAAACATCAAGATGGAAGAAGGTAAAATAATTCCTTTTTCACTTACCATCATTTTTTTCCATTTTCCTTCTGCTGCGCCATAGAAGCCGAATTGGCGTGCCAGAGAATCCTGCATCTGATCTCAGTTGCTTTTCCATAAATCGCCGGTATGTCTCAGGGAAAAGTTTCGCATCATTTACAAAGAAAACAAACGTGGGTGGCCTAATAGCTGCCTGCAAGATAATTAGCGACAGGTACACAGTGGCAGCATTTTTCAATATTGAATAAATCATTAAATGTAAGTTTCCGGAGACTGAAAAATAGGCCACCAAGTTGCATGTCCATATTGAAAAGAATTAATGGTTAGTTTCGATGGAATGTGAAAATGAATTTCATGTTTATTTACACAACAAAATACCAAACTGAAGCAGTAAATTACATGTAACTCAATTGTAAAAGCTTGTCATCAAGCATGAAAATGTAGGTTGTAATCTGGCTTCAATGTCACATAAGCTGTAAGACACACTAATTCAAAAATGCATTTAAAATTGTTTTAGAAAAAAATTTAAGAACTTAAAAGCTAGGAGAACCCCTAGTTCAATTCCCATCAAATACTTGGTGATATAAACTTGCACAATAAGTATGTATGCCTTCAATTCACAGGCCACAGCAAAACTGAACATGAATGTCTTCATTACTGCAGGACATCAATATCTATTGTCAAAGATATACATCATAAAGCTTCTTAGAATCAAAGAATTAGAATTGTTTGACCATCCAACTCAAAACTAATTGAAAATGAGCAAAAAGACCCCTTTAAGCATATTAACCAATGGTAGGTGACCCTAATTATTCAATATGCAATACAAGCTCTATTTACACCCTCCCTCATGTGGGACCCAAGGCTTACACGTGGGGCTAACAAATAAACAGATAAACATACATATCGAGAAATTCAAATGGATAAGAAACATGGCTCATTGATCACTCAAGGCTCAGCTTGGATACCATGTTAGAGCATCCAAACCAAAACCAATTAGCAATGAGTGTAAGTAACCCTCAAGCATATAAATCAATTTGGGGTGGTCCTACTCATTTGATGTGCGATACAAACTCTCTTTACACCCTCCCCACGTGGGACTCAGGCTTGCACATGGGGCTAACAAACAAACAGATAACTATGTATACTGGAGAAATTTTAGTGGGTAAGAGACTTGACTCATTGATCACCCAAGGCCCAGCTCTGATACCATGTTAGAGCATCTGACTCAACCAATTGACAATGAGTGCAGAGGCCCCTTAAGCATATAAACCAACCGTGGGTGACCCTAATTATTCGATGTAGGATACAAACTCTCTTTACAAGAATATCTAATGTTGCGCGTATACCTGAGTGCAATAATAAACGCGTCCTCTCTTCCCGCCTCTGGTTCTTGGAGGTGCCTTAAAAGCAAGTGACTCCTGTATTACTTGATTTAATATGGATGTAGTGAGCCTTCTTGATCTCTCTTTTTCAACCACACTAGCAGCAACAATGATTCTGGACCAAATAAATCAACACAATCTTAGATGGAGGTTAAAAAGTCTGCAGCATTGAAAGAATATGCTAAAAACGTTAGGCTTTGCAATTAAAGTCACTGGTGTATGTGTTATTGAGTTCATTTTCAGACATAAGTATGCTATTGAAATTGCAATTGAATAGATACAAAGTCAGTGAAGATATTACAACAATCCCATAAGACCATATAAAAAAAGTCACATGTTAGCAGTGATGCTGCAGCAGACAGTGATTTCAAACATGATGATAAATTGGTAAATAATGCAAAGAACTGTAAGAAATAGAAGATGAAGATATTCGGTTACAAACATACTTTTCAACATTATGCCCTGCTATTGCTGTGGAATATACAATTGGAGCCCAATTCAGAATGCGAAGCTTCTCCCTGACATCTTGCTCATAGTACGTCGCAGTTTCCTGGTTTTTATTTGGTATGGTGTCCCACTTGTTTACAACAATCAGGCAACCTTTCCCTTCTCTTTCTATCCTTTCAGCAATCTTGAAATCCTATGAACCTCAGGCAACACAATACAAGTTGAGTGACTTAGATAATTGCAAGGGAGAAAATAAATGGAATAAATGCCCAAGAACAACAATGCTACATTTGAAAGGGGAGTGGAGAGGGTGAAGAGAGAATTGCTTAAAATGTTTATTTGGGATCATTCACCTTTACGTTCTTCATTTATTATTACTATAACCGATGGAAGAAAAATTCTATGGCCGGCATGGCAAAGGTTTCAAATAGAGTTGATCACGTAATACATCAAATACATTCCTCCACTCAGTCCAACAATGCATTATGGTATAGAATGTTAGGCAATAAAAAACACCACGCTCAAAAATTAAGTGTTGCAGAGACAAGGATATTAACAAATGTGTGGTAAACTAGAAAGGATAGTTAGGGTGAATACATTAGGGTCCGTTTGGTTAGCAAGAAAAAGATGATGGAAAGTGAAAGAGGTAGAAAGTGAACTGAAAGAAAAGAAAGTGAAAGAAAATATATTTTCATGCATGTATTTGGTTAACATGAAAAACTTATAAGAAAATTTTAAAACATTCTCATTCCATTGTTTGAAGAAAAGTAAAGTTATAAGAAAATTTTTCTAATTGTCTAAATTATCCTTAAGTATTTTAATTTGGTCTAAAGAAGAAAAACATATTTTTTATTATTCAAATTT